TCAGGAGTTCAGAAACACTGACACTGATATTCAGAATAATGGGTATAAGGTATGATCTCTTTGCAGACAAAGTTGAAATAATATTTTTTTAAAAAGCATAATAGGCCCCCCTTTAAACTCTGCAGAACCATCCAGGCAACTCTTGATCAGAAGAGCGTTCTTTGCTGAACCATGCACGAGCCACTGAAGAAGCTGTATTGGTAAGAGCACATGAGCTTGGCTGGAGGTGGGGAGAGGGGAGAACCTCTCCAGTGACTCCAGCTCCACACCCCAGCAACAGTGGGTCTCGGGCTGGAATTTTCCATGGAGCATGTGGCATACACACACACTGCTCTGGAGTTTAAATAGTGCTGTGTGGGCTCTGCCAGCACTCTGTCTCCGCGTGAGCCCCACTCTATATCTCTCTCTTTCTCTCTCACATATTTGTGTGGCTTCCAGTGCCGTTGTGCCCTGCGAGCGCTTCCTGGCGCCCAACCAAATAAGGCAGATAGCCTGTGTGTGTTTATTAGCCAGCACATTATTCTGACACAAGACACTTCATTCCAAGTCCAGGAAAAAGTTAACTATGTCCTATATACTCTTCGTTCTTTTCTATTTGCTCGTTGTTTCTTCGCCACACATTGGCTCTGCTCCAGAATCTGCACTATCTTCATAGGCAGCTGCCTTCTAAGGATTCTGATCTGAAATGGAATCTCACGACTGACCATTTTGGAACGCTCTAGATAATGAGTGACTGCAAATAGCGCTCCTGACAGGAAGTGCACTGGATGCTTGACTCACAATTGGTTTCTGTGAAGTTTGATGTTAGCGTGTTGCTAAGCTAACGCCAGTAAAATACATAGCACATAAAGTACATTTTGTTCATTTTTAATTAGTCTGTAGGGTTGTGACGGTGAAGATATTTTCTCACCGGTTAATCGACGTGTGACAACACCCGTAATACCGGTGTCACCGGCGGGGGGGTTTAAATCGCTAATTTAAAGGCAAACGTAAAATGCGCACGTTTTCACGGGCATACATAACGGTGCAGTAGTGTGGGAACAAAACTGTTTTGTTATTGTGCCGAAACGAAACTAACTTTTGATTGACAGACATGTGATCTGACCGACTGAAAATCCACCATTTTTGTCCGACAAAGCAGTCAGGAGAGTAGATTAACGTCGGTGGAACTTGGCTTTATCAGGCACGACACATTAAAGAGCCACAAAACGGTAGGCCTATTTATTGTTTGATTTTCTTTGACTGACCGAATTTGAAAGTTGAGACTGTTTCATATTAAATATTACCTGCTCGGTCCTGTCTGTCAACGCGTTATCAGTGTCCTCTATTTTTCACTGCTTTAGAACATGGGTTGAATCAGAAATCGCCCCCTAAACCCTCATTTACTAGGCCTATTCCCTACGTTAGTCCACTAATACTGTTCACTCGAAGGAGTAAGTAAAAACGAGTGAGCGAATTCGGATAGCCGTTGCTAACAGAGACGCGATCTGACACGCGTCCCATTTTCTCACAAACCTCTACGTTCGTTTAAAACTGCTCTTATGGACATTTTGGCATAATTTGTGTGTTTTGGTTTGTTCAAGCCCGAAAGAGAACTCGATACTGACGCGCGTCATTTCTGTGGGTCGTGTGTGTGTTTATAGGCAGGATTTAACGAGTACTGCGTAATTGCGTTCAATATTTTTAAGGCTTTACATTTTTTTTTTCACATGCTAACCGCGGTGCCGCGATGGGCATGTCATTAAATGTTTTGTGTTTTGTTCAAGCCCGAAAGAGAACTCAATACCGACGCGCGTCATTTCTGTGGGTCGTGTGTGTTTATAGGCAGGATTTAACGAGTACTGCGTAATTGCGTTCAATATTTTTAAGGCTTTAAATTTTATTTTTTTTTCACATGCCAACCGCGGTGCCGCGATGGGCATGTCATTAAACCGGTGTTGCGACTGAACACCGGTAACACCGACTACCATAGCAAGCCTATTAGACTGAACTATTTTTTGGTCCATACTTTTTAACTATATGTATAGTGTACAACGGGGTTAAATTCACACTGTGGTAAAAGGCCCAATTGATTTTAGTCTCCTCTAAAACCACTAGATAGCACAAAACTCACCGCAGCACTTTTGGCTGATTCTTGATGCAATCATTCTGCACTAATTCGATTTAAAGGTGCATTGCGCAACATTTCATGTTAAAATAGACGTTTTTCTAACCCATACATGGTTAAACAATCGCCTGATGGGCTGAACGAGCCTTTCTCTGATCACTGCGATTGCGATTTATAATCCTGTACAGTAAAATAAATAAGAGGGATTCGGGACGGATTTGAGACTGGGCGTGACGTCATGTGCGTTCACGCTCAAGGAAAATAAAATAAAACTTTTGTCTAGTGCCAGGCGTCGGAATAAGATGAAGAGATCTCAAACGGGTCCTATACAAAGTAATAACTTATATTGTTCATGAACGTGTTTCCATAATAATATAATCATAAGTGTATCCAGTAAGCACATAAAACAGTTCAACATGGAAATAAATGGAAACAAAAATCGAAGTTTTCTACTACACGCATTTACTCAAATGCCTTTCCTTTCATATATTTAAAATGACTCACAGATTTTATTACCTCTGAAGACATTATGATTGCAACAAAAGATTTGTGCGGCTGATGTTCCTTTGGTTATGAACAGCTCGCGCAAGCCTGCGTGTGTGTGGTCCATGAGCGTGCACACCTCTGGTTGCCAGAGGGGGCGTAGTTCTGTAAAACCTCAGAGACTTGCGCAATGCACCTTTAATAATTTAAATGGTTAACACTTTATTTTGATTGGCCCTTTTGAACATTCTGTTGACAGTAAGTAACTACCTGTCAACTAACTAACTCTATAGTCAACATAATGTGTTAAAGCGGCCATCAAAATAAAGTGAAACCTTCAAATGTTGTAAATGTATGTAGAAAATGAGAATTGTTACAATTATGGAACATATTTTTTTGAGACAAAAGTCTTGTTAAAGTATAATAAAATCAACATATTTTCAATAACTGAAGCCTACGTAAAAGTGCTATTGGGACAAAAGGCACAATAATAAATAGCTGTCTGACTTTTCCATTTGTTTTCATGATATGGTTAGATTCAGAAGTTCAATGTTAATTTATTAGGTTGGGTGTCCAGCTTAGAGAACACCATCTTTGTAATGAAACTATCATATAAAAACATATCTTATAATTAAATAGATGTATTGTTACTAGTGCAAAGCTTTCAGAATCTCTACTTTTTATGCATCCTTAAAAAGAATGAGAATTTAAATTGAGAATTGGAAAGTACATTTCCCTTAAGGTTCACCCCGTTGTACCCTAATCAACATTTCTGTGTCGCTTCGCTTGAGCTCGTCGCAAGGCATTCTGGGATTTCAAAACCCAGCAGGGACACATATGATACTGCTTTAAACCTGTCGCAGACAACTCACATCACAAACCAGACGAGCCATTCTGTACTCGCATGCTCAAGTTCAAGGCAGACGTCCAAAACAGTGAATCTAATCACCACACAGGCAAAAGTTCACTTCAAGAATGAACAAAGTGGACTTGATCCATTTGGTGTATTATAAGAAAAAATTCGATTACAAAAAGTGATGCATATCGTACTTTCTCCAAACTACGTATATGGCAGCCAGAGCCATTGTGATCTAACCCACAATCTCAAAGTGCAGATTGCCAAAGTTCAATTCTAAAATAATCAGCGCCGTTTCTCTGATTGTTGACACGGGATTATTTATATCCTGTAAACTGACTGGGGCTGGCACTGGGCCATCTCTATTCATATTTGGAGTATTTATACAGCCGGTAGAGCCAAGAATAACATTTAATCCAAAATATACCTCGGGGCATAAAATATCTCCTCGTTTATTTTGCTTTTTATGCTCACGTTTGATCCGGGAACTCAAAACGATTACATAATTAATGGTACAATAAGGACATTTAAGAGCATTGATTTGCTTGAATAAGACACAGTGGGGTAGTATTTCGGTTCACTGAGAAGCATTATTCAAACATGGTGTGTCTGTGTTTCCTGGTTGCTAAAAGAGAACATGAAATATCCTTTCAAATGATTGCTCAGCCCAGCTAAATTGCGTAAATAACGTAAAGATGGTGCAGGAGGTTGGTTGACGCTCCTCACTGCAGACAGCTGCACAAATATTGATCAGGGGAGACCACACTATAGCCTGTGATGTGGTGACTGTGGCTCAGTGGTTAAATCCGCGCTGCGACCGAAAGCCTGTGGATTTAAACCCCTCCAAGGGGTGACGCATGGCCACTGTGTGCTTGAAAAAGGAGCCTGGTTATTCCAGTGGGACTGAACCTCTAATATGTTAACTAAATGACAAACTAGTCATTCAGAATGTAGTCACGAATCTGGCAATAGCTTGCAAAGTAAAACGATAATCCCACATTACATGAGGTTCACATTAAACAACACATTTTTTTTTTCTTTTCAATTATGTAGGACATTTTAAACTACAAATCTAATAAAGAAGAAAATAAATCATAAACCAGATCTGCAAGAGTTATGGATTATTAGGGGAATGACAATTTTAGCACCACGGAGGGTTAAGTAGCATTTAGCTGGTTCCTTTATGGGTGCCGGGACAGCCGAAACCACCAGCCACTATGTTAAAAGATTGTGGTAAATGGCATTTTCAATTTTGCAAGCTCTCACACATTGCATTTATGCGTTTTATCCAAATGCTAAAACTCAATAAAGTACCACAAAGACACTAAATTATCGAGTGCGTTGTTGGTAGTTTGATCTGATAGTCGTATTCGACTGTTTGCATTCTTTCATTTGGGCTGAAGGAGGGTGGGGGTGGCAGGGAGCCCATCAAGTGTTTTTGCACTGGGGCCCATATGAGATCCTATTTACACTACTGGACTTACACTCCCCATGCCTACAAGCTTTCAGTCACACGTTCCCCAACCAACCCCAAAACAGGTTTGAAACACTCACTCTCGGCAGGGTAGAAGGGCTGCATGTCTATCTTGTGCACTTCTTTGGCGTAATACTCCTCCTCGCTGCGCTGTCTCTCGCAGGTGGCCGCGCGCTCGTTGGCTTTCTCCTGAAGCAGGTCCCGCGTGCTGTTATAGATAGCGATGATGTCCCGGGACACCTCCTCGGGCTCGGGGTAGATCTCCGGAGGACTGCTCAGCTTGAGTTTACTGAGGATCTGACCGCGGATGGCCTCGATCCTCTTCTTTTTGAACTGTTCCATGTCCAGAGTGCTGCATGTGGATAAACTGACGGCCACTGTGGCTAAATCCAAGGTCAGAAGGAGACTCAAGACGTACAAGTTCATTTTGTGCTTATGTTTTTGTACCAGAAGCGAGTCTGAAAAATCGAATTAATGAATTAAGTCACGCAGAAGCCCAATCATTTCAATAAAATGTAGTTTGCCAACTTCAAACTTTGCGCACTCGTATCAATGGCAAATGTTTTCTCTCTCTCTTTCACTATTTCGTTATTGTACCTGCAAATCCATCCGAGGTGCCAACGTGAAATGGTCTGTCAGATCCGTTATATTCTGGAGAGAAACTAAGATCGTCATTCCAAATCACTTCATAGTAAGTGCACAAAAGCACGGACCCTGCACTAAAACAGTTATTGATTCGGCCATCAAAAGTGTCTGCTTCTCAGAGGTCCGTTGATGCAGTTGTTGATGACAGACGCGTCGCCTGCGGGCTTTTTGCGCGCACTTCCACCGCATCAGAGCGCCGCGAACTCTCTCCAAACGGCCGCGCAATCACGCCTCCCACTCACCCTCACTCGATCGATGAGAAGATGTGGAGGTCCAGGAAAAGCCTCTGCTCACTCCGCAAGTCGCATCGCCTCTCCTCTGACGCACAGGTTTGCGCGTTTTGGCACCGGCAGATGCTGAAGAAAATAAAGCTGTCCCTGTCTCACGCGTCCTAAAGTCGTGGGACAGAAAAGAGTGAACGGACTGATGGGGTAAATTACTGTAAGAGCAGGTAAAAGCGATTTCCTTTTCAGTTTACGCACGCCTCCATTCCTTCTGGTGGAAAACAACGGTCCCTGTGCCAGCACACACATGCACATCTGAAGGCAGCCGGCTGGAGAGAGAGATTTATATAGGACTGGCTTCACCACGTGGTTGTGGTCATCACGGTGAGACCGGGAGATTCGTCAGCGCGCGGGTTTACCGAGCACTTCAGTGTAAATATCTCAGCGTGCCGTTTCGCTTCAGCACTGCGGCCAGGTCCTAACGCCCACGGACTGGGTCGGCTACTTTAAACCAGACTGAACCTCCCTAACTTGAACCTCCCCGATAGAAAGTCAAAGTAAACCACAAAACATAGCATGAAAAAGATTTCGAGAAGCCAAAGTGTCACAGTCAGCTGCGTAAAAACCATTGTAACCATTAGTCCCAGGTGGCACATCAACAAAACATACTGTACATATTTATTACTTTATTGAAGTGTTACATAGGTAATTCAAATCTTAGTGTTCCGTTTAAAGGAGTAGTTCACTATAAAAAAAAAAAAAAAAAAAAAAACTTTTGCTGATAATTTACTCACCCCCATGTCATCCAAGAGGTCCATGTCATTCTTTCTTCAGTCGAAAAGAAATTAAGGTTTTTGATGAAAACATTCCACGATTTTCTCCATATAATGGACTTCAATGGGAACCAAATAGTTCAAGGTCCAAAAGACAGTTTCAGTGCAGCTTCAAAGGGCTTTAAACGACACCAGACGATGAATAAGGGTCTTATCTAGCGAAACGACTCTCCTGTTCGAACTCGTTGATCAAAATGAACAAATCTTTTTTCGAGTCATGACTCGAAGGGTCCTTGATAAGACCCTTATTCGTCGCCTGGTGTCGTTTAAAGCCCTTTGAAGCTGCACTGAAACTCTCATTTGGACCTTGAACCATTTGGCCATTTGTAATATTTTAAATATTGTGTAATCTATTCAATTGTTAATTCATTACACTGCAACATCAATTTGCATTGATACAATTAATGATGCACTGCAAGCTAAATTTGTTTTTTATACGTAGTTTAGATAATTATGTCTTCAGAAGTTAGCCTATACACTGTAAAAAAATATTGTTGGTTTAACTTAAAAAAGTAAGTAACCTGGTTGCCTTAAAATTTTAAGTTGATTGAACTGGAAAAAGTGAGTTAATACAATGAAGGAGATTAACTCAATCATCAGAAACTCAAAATAATAAGTTATCTCAACTAAATAAATTATTATAAAGTTGATTTGACAAAAGAAAATATGTTGTGATAACAAATCTTGAAAATATTTTTTACTAGTTTTAGTTTTAATTTGACAAGTCTTGTGTGTTCACGATTCTGCACAGTAAAAATGAATATGCTTTATCTAATCAATAGAATTGTGGCAACAGATTACAAGCAATATTATTAATTAAAGTTAACAAATTAGAAAATTATTCCTCATTTAAAATGAGTAAAGTTTACACCAAAAAATTTAACAAAAATATCTCACTAACAGACAGATGTCAAAGATTAATTAAGAACTGTTTATTTTATATTGCCAACATTGAAGGCACCTGATGTTAACAAGCAGAATCACTGAAGGAGAACAACGTAATTTTAAAACAAACCTAAAACAAACACTGATCACCATAATGGTGACTTCAATTTATGTTTTTTGGTGGTTGTTGTAAGTTTTACTCATTTTAAATGGTTAACTATTAAGGAATTAATTTGATTAATTATTACTCAATTCTAATTTGTTAAATTGAATTAATAATATTGCTTGTAATCTGTTGCCACAATTTTTTTTGATTAGATAAAGCATATTCATTTTTACAATGAAACATCCACTTATCAGTTGTTTAGAGTACACAATCATGGTAACGGACAAAATGATCAATCAATCACATTTCACTGTCTTCATGTAAGATATCCATCATCAGACAAACAGCATTAGGGTTTCAGGCATAAAATATGGACTTTATTATTCTGCAGTGTGGTGCAGTTTATATTTATAGCCTTTATAAATTCAATGAAATGAGACAGAGAAGTCTTAGTATAAAACCACCCATCTAATCTGAACCGTTATCTTGCTTCATTATGTATAGTCCAAAAAAAATGTTGCAAAAATAGCTTATGTTATTACTACCGTTATGACACAGGCAACTGATAAGGAACGAGAAAGCAGGCCCAGCTGTTGCCTCAGTGCATAAACATCTAGCTGATAACCCATTTTGGGAGGTTGGATCACAGGCCCGAGACAGATTCTCTGTGTGGAACAAGTAATGGCAGGCTCCCTCAAAGCACCTGCTTGATTTACTCTCCCATCCCTTGAGCTTACGCTTAAGAAAAAAAATCATCATTTGCCAAAGCCTTTTGTACCCGGCCCACACTCCAGTAATCTTTCAGGAATGACAGGCCTTCAGAACCCCACCGACTGCTGGAAACCAGATGTTATCACTAAATCAGTACCAACAAAGACAGAGGGAGAAAAAGGTTAAGGATGTTAAGGAATAAGCCAAATCATATTAAGTGTAGAAAATGGTCCACCTGATAGTTCTCACAATCACTTGCTTTGACTCGAGCAAGCTGATGAAACGAGGAAGAGGTTTTGTTGGCGGCTATGAAAAGATGAGTAAGGGAGCTTGACCCTTTCTAGGGCGCTCTGTCCTCCTGAGTGGCAGGTCACAGTGTTGTCGTGACAAATGGGCCTTTTACGACGGCTGTGCCGTCATACACTGGGTAAATACATCTCAACTGGGTGTGGACACATAGCTGGACTGACAGAGATAAAGAAAAGAAAGTCTAGAATCAGCACAACTGTCTTTCCGGCAAGGCTGCACCCTTAAAGTTCAAAGGTCAACTCCTGGCAAACCTCCAATCAGAGATGCCAACAGTGCACTTCTGCTAAAACGGCCTGTTATGTTACAATCTACAGTCCTAATGAGCCTAAGATAATAGAATACACCGTGTGGCCCATATCATGATGGAAAGTGTGAGTTCAGATTGCATGTACAGAACCCACTTGTCATAAGAGGTCAGAGAGTCGAACCAGCGGAAGAGCACTGAACTACTTTGACAGCAGCGCCTCCCTGTGGTCAGCTAAAGTAGATGGTGTCCAGCAGAGCCGGACAGTAACAGAGTACGTTTACTTAAGTACAATTTTGAGGGATCTGTACTTTACTCGGAGGAGTACTCATGATTTTACTCAATTACATTTGAGAGGGAAATGTTGTACTGTTTACTCCACTACATTTCTATCCATAACTGTGAGTACACTTTACTACTACTAAGAAAAATCTCTGAAACCCTCAATTTGTTGTTTCACTCTCAAACGTGATTGGATTGTGCAGGCCCCACTGATTGGGACAGCCTATCAGCAATCACCTTCAGCTTTCCCATAGACATATATGCGTCGGAGAGTTGGAGCTGTCGCAGAAAAGGCTTCGTCACGCGTACTGATAAAACTCCTTTTATCTTACATTACCTACTTTATAAAATAATATTAACAACAATAACAATCATAATGACTTTATTTTGTAATTATACCTCCGTGCCAGCTTTGTAGTTTCATCGACTGAAATTGTACATCAACTCTCACGTTCACAGATGACGTGTCGTCGAGCGCCCTCCGGCGACCGTTATTACGTTCAAAACGACGATTAACGGATATTTTTCAAATCCTCCACTGGATGTAATGTAATCTCTGGTTTAAACTTGCTCGCGCCGAACTTTCATGCGCGCTCAGTTCTCTCCGCATTGAATTGTGGGAAATAGGGCTTCAGCGAGTGTACATCGAATGTACACTCGAATTCAGAGAGGATTGTGGGTAAAAGTAGTGAATGAATGTAGGGAATGATGTCGTTCACTCAGAATTCGGACACCACTACAAAATGGCCGACACCCGATATAGTGCACTATATAGTGGATAGGGAGCGATTTCAGACACAGCTTAGACCTCACCTTGGGGTTCTAAACATGCGTCAAAACCGCCGCCATCTTGGAACAGGGGTCTTGTCATAGGAAGTAGCTAGGTAACGCTGCTATCTCTGCCTTTACGTCGAATTCATTGATGGTGGCGGACTTTTGTGCAGCGTATGATGTTCACGGATGAAATCTGATGAAACTAGAAAGAATGTTTTTAAAAAAAAATAAAATAAAATTTTCTTTCTGGAATCAATGATAAATACATGTCTAACCGTTGGAACAAACCAAAAAAAAAAAACAAGAAAAATCGCATTCATGATGATTTATGGTGATTTTATTTCCGTTAGACCTGTGTCTACTACATTGACGCTGATGCATTAAAGTGGAGGGGCTCCCCTGTTTCAAGATGGCGGCTCTATTGACGCATTCGTTCCAATGAACTGCCGTAGCCAAGGTGACGTCTAGTGTATATTTCTATGCAGCTTTCCACCAAAGTCAATGGTTTAGATTTAGATAAGAGACGAAACAATGGATGAAGACGCAGCAGGTCCATCCCGGGAATGTGCCGACCCGTGGCCAAACCTCGCCAGACTATTTCAATTTTCTATTGTCTATTGTAACAATTCTAACAATTCTATTCTATTGTTCTATTGTCAAATCTCCAGTCATAAATGCCATTAACCCCAGTGACGGTTAGGTTTAGGGACGGGGTTGAGGTAAGTCATATATTTAAATAACGTTAAGTCAACGGCGTTCATAAACACGCTGAAAGGCGATTATGCGTCTTGATAGCACGCCAAAAATGGATATACGAATTGGCGTGGCATACACACGCTACTTCATGAGATCAGTCTGAATTTTCTTCCATTTTAAATAAAGCAACATGGAAAATTATGAAAATGCCTTGATTTACATTCAATTCCTTTTACATTCTCCAAGGTATTAACATTTGTCTGTCTGTACATAAATGTAAGCACTGTGGCAGTAGTAATGCAATATTTCGTAAATTTACTCGTGTACACTTGATACTCAAGTACTTTTAAAAACAAGTACTTTAGTACTTTTACTTAAGTAGATATGTGACTGTAGTACTTGTACTTGAGACAAATTTAGCAAGGGGTATCTGTACTTTTACTCCTTTGGTGTCCAGCACCAAATGTAGCCCTCAATCGGGTCATGGGGTCTATACGACCCCAATCGACTTTTACTTTATAAAAAAGGTTCCCTTCATCTCAGTGGAATATGATTTTGTGACTTTTCCTACA